CAGTGGTTGTTGTTGTTGTTTGCGATCCGGCCTCTGGTTCATGACAGAGTGGTGTTCGTATAGTTTCCTTTAAGTAGTTCTTGGTGCAGTGCCTCCACAGGTGATTTAATTTGTGTGTGTGTGTGTGTGTGTGGGGGGGGGGGGGCAGTTTGCCTCGATTGACTCTGTGCAAAGTGAATGTGAACCACACCAGCTGAAAATGTAATTAAATGTTCTGACTTTTGGTCCCCCATCGAACCAAGTCTGCCAGACTGTCAAGTGTGAAAACAACCTTAGTGTTTGCTGCTATGTACAGTATTTATTTATTTTTTTTAATTTCGAGCCTCGAGTTCTGCCAGCAATTGGAACCCTCCAGCCAATCGGTACAGTATCACAAATTAAACCATTATATTAGCTACAATTGTATGTGAGGAAATGTTCTTGAATATTTTTAATAAAAATTATATATATATGTATATATATATATATATATATATATATATATATATATATATATATATATATATACACACACATATATATATATAGACTGTGTTTTACACTGAGAAAAGAATATATCATTTTTTATTTTGTTTTGGTCAGTCATAGAACTGATTGGCTGTTAATCACATTGTACTGCTGCACAAGGCAAATATGGAGTGATGATGTTTTCCCTGTGTCTGTGTGTCTGTTTGCGTTTGTCTGTCTGTACCATGTTTAACAAAATGTGTTATGCATGGATTTTAACAGCTCATTGAACAAATGATTGGGTTCACACTCTTTCGAAGTCCACCCAGTTGATGATGGCTGCCACAGCAAAACAGTCCAAGCAAACACAATAAAATGTCCATAATCAATTTTTACAGACATTAAGTTAAAATTTGCTGTGGTAGTAGCTGACAATCATTTACAATACATACTTCATACACATATCTTGCATGATCCCAAGCAACCGTGCAAGATATTGCAAAATCCCATGAGATTGTGCATGGTGTTATTTTCAAAGTTTGATCAAAATGGTGATACCCCCATCATTTCTCATCATCATAGGATCTTTGACTAGATTTTATTAGACACTTTTCTTCATTAATACATAACTTTTCTAGTCTTCATTTGATAATTCATCGGCCTAAAAGTTAGCAGTTAAAAAAAAAGCACATTTTTAAATAAAAGTTTATTATTTTCTGTTTTTTTGTTTGTTTGTTTGGTTATTTTTTACATACTGGTACTTGGGTTAAAAGCACATTTAAATTAATACATGTGTTTTCATTTATTTATAATTTCTTGCATTTTAGGATTCTACTTGTTCATGCAATTTCTGTGAACACACTCAGTTTAACGTAGTATAATCTTTTCCTACTCGGATGTTGTCCTCTTTTCACTGGAAACCCTCGTCTTGCCCAAAAAATGCTCACCACATAATTACTGCACATGTACGATAAACTGACTCTTGCTTTTTTTTATGGCCTCTCACCCAAAGCTTTCCTGTTTCTTTGCTACCATTTTGCTGGTCTCCTGAACTTCCCCCATGCAGCATCCTGCTCCTCATTAGAAAGCCTTTCATGGTCACAGCCAATAAAACTTCAATGAGAGGCTGGCTGATCAAAACATGGCTGTTCTGCAGCTTTATTGAGCAGTAATTACATAATCTCCATACCAGACAGTAGAGGGCCAATCAGTTCCGCAGCAGTATGGCTGACCTGTGACCATATGTGGAACACTGACGGATAAAGACATCTCAAACAAGAACTGTGCATGACTCAGGTCACACAAACTCACAACCTTAACTGACATATTATCATTCACATGGTTTAAACCAACAACATTTATTAACCTATTGCCTCACACAATGCTTGGTTTTCCTTTCCATTAGAAAAGTCGGGCAAAAGTACCGCAGTTACATATTTCTAAATATTAGAGAAGTAAATGTGATTGTGTTCTGACAGCTTTGCCCAGAAACACAGATGCATAGGCAGTAAACAAGGGAGACACTTGACACTGTTGAATAAAATTGTAATGTATGCCCTTTCATTTCAGAGCTGTAATAATAGGATGTGAGTGTGGCCATTTGTCAGTAAGTGATTTGTGAGAAGCTGTCCTTCTTTGTTTGCTCTGGACCAGTGATGAGGGAAAGACAAATTATACACAAACATTTGCTAATGTTTTCATAAACAATATCCGCCTTTAGAGACGAGGGGATATGAAGACAGAAAGTGAATCCTGTTGCCACAAGGTCATGTCCTCTTTCATTTAGTTACTTTTTCCCCCGTTGCTTCTTACGTTTGTTGAAGTATTTTTTTTGTGGCATAAAGCTGCATTGCTGTTTTTATTTTCTATGTGTGATATCTTAACATGTGTGACACCTTCCAACACGGTCTAACTCGGCTTCACACAAAGAACAAAGTGAAACTTTGCACAATAATTGAACTGAAAGACATGTTTGTTGAAAGGACATCACGATCCAGTGAGCTAACAGAATGTATATTCAAACAAATAAACAAATAATTAAAAACACATGTAAATAATATGAATGATCTCCTGCAAAATTGTACGATCATTCAAGGTGTGTAGGGAATGTGTTGAGGATGACTGTCAGCTACTACCACACAGATACAATAGCTTAAACAACTGGCAATCATTGTTTGTGTTTTTAAATGTCAGTGGCCATCTTGACATTGGTTGACTCCAAAATTTAAACAGTTGTGGAGGTACCCTCAGTGATTACATCATTAAAATGCATCCAGTGGTTCATGTGATATTTTGCTGACTTCAGTAATGGTAATGTCTTATAAACAGATATTTCAGTTCAGTTACCGGACAAAGTTGGAAATCACTTAGCTTCTACAATAATCCCTCGCTACTTTGCGGCTCAACTTTCGTGGACTCGCTCTTTTGCGTTTTTTTCAATGTAATATTGTACACAACACACGATTGTTAACTTTAATATTACTCACATGATTGAAACGGTATGGGATAAAACGTTAACGAAAACAAATGCTTTGGACGGCGTCACCATTTTGTAGTTTTCTTTCAATAAGCATGTACTGTAACACAAGTCAAAAGAACTACACCACCCAGAAGCCAACAGTGCTTCTGGCTGCTGCTTTCTGACGAAAAGGAGGCAACGTTTTGCAACGCAAATCTACGCTAACTATTAAGCTCACAGAACTGGCAGGAAAGCTGCAAATAACCGTGAAGCTTCCTGAAGATTATCCACGTGCACACCAACCTGGACGGGGCGGTGGGTAAGTCTGCAGAACCAGAACCAAACCAAGCCGGAATGGAGTTGCTGGTCTGCAGAGCTGGTGAGTAAAACTTACTGTACAGTACATATACGTATGTAGTTAAAATATGTAGTTGTAAGTGTTTAGAACATTGAAAGAGTGTGGGAGGGTTTATAAAGCCTTCAAATAGATATAAACACTAAAATATTGCATTGCTTCTTCACGGTTTTACACCTATTGTGATGGTGTGTGGAATGTAACCCCTGTGATAATCGAGGGAGTACTGTGCCACAACTTTTAGCAATTTTTAAACTTTGCTGACGTTTAGACACTTTTTGTGTCTGAATAAGTTGCTTAGCTGTGGCGGCCTTTTTGAACGGGGTTCATTCCAAAAGTTAATCATTTGTAAAATTTCATCCACTGAATACTTTATTTCCATTACGTATACTTTATAATATGTTCCATTCAAATTCATTCAATAGTTTCCACAAAGACAAGAAAAAAAAATCAGTGACTGGGAATGACAATAAATTAAGAGCTTTTAGAGGATAATCATATGAACTTGTAAACTTGCAGGCTCAAGTGCAAAAAAAAAAAAAAAAAACTTTTACACTTACACAACACACTCTGTGTGAAGTGTAGTGTGACTTGGAGGTGTGTGAAGTGTGTGGGGTTTTTTTTATGACACAAGTTTCAGTATGTTACAGATTTTAATAAAGAGCACTCTTTGAACTGTCTAAACTTGTAGAAACGCATGAAACTGAGGATAAAGAAGCCATTCAGCTGGTGACAGTAACCTGGGAGCAGCCCAGGGAACACTGACTTGTTGCTTTACTAATTGCTCTATGAGGAGTGATGCGTGGCTCATACAGAAACTCCCAGCCCGGTGGTTGGGTGGTAAGGGGCCCCAGGGCGCTCCTTGGGTTCATGCAACACCTGGCCAGGGGAGATCAAGCTGTCAAGGAGCGCAGAGCTCGATCAGACCTTATGACGCACCCATCAGCTACTACATCCTGCCACATGAGGATTATAGACGTAGTAGATCCACCTTTCAAACCAAACGAGTTTTTAAAATAGCTTTAAAATAAGACAGGAACGGGACAGGATGGAATGAAAACGAGTTTCCTCCTCTTTCTGTCTCCCTGCCTCTCCCCGCCTCCCTCCTGCTCCACGGAGTGGCAGCGCTGGCACAGCATCGCTCAGAAAAGCCCGAGCTGCGGTGTCTGCCTGTCTGTCTGTCTGACAGTCTTGTCTGCGTGCACCTCTTTACCCAGATCCCTCCGTGCCGCCAAAGCCGGTAGGCGTGAGTCAACACAGGCAGGCTGCACGGCGTCAACCAGCGCAGGGCTATTTTCTGATGCGACTTAAAATAGCGTTATTTCAGCTGCAACCTAATTCTCTCTCCGTCTCTCGCTCCTTCTCTCTCTTTAGGTGTACAGATGAGACCGGGCATTTGTACCCATCGAGAGTAGCCTTCTGCAAAAAGAAGTGAGGGCGAAAAAAAAAACAAACCCACAAATATAAAGAAGTGGAGTGAAGAGGAGACCGGGACATTTGCGCTCCTGCGCGGCAGTGCGCAAAAAGCAGCGGGCGCGCTCAGAGGGCAAACGGGAGCACCCAGGTGGAGGATATTTTACGCACAGCGGCACCAAGTAGCCGTAGTTTTTTTTTTTTTTTTTTTTTTAACCCCTGGGTTTTTTTTTTTTTTTTTTTTTTTTTAACTCCTGGGTTTTTTTTTTGTTCATTTTTATTTGGATTTTCACTTGACTCTGTTGTCATGGATTCCTTCATCCTAGTGCTGGCACTGTGCTCTCTAACGGCACCAGCCTGCGCGGACAAAGGCTCCAGCAAAGCCCGGAGTTGCTCTAATTTTCGAACATTTTACAAGGGGAAATTATTCCCTATGGACGGTGTCCCTCAGTCGGAAATATCAGGTAAGTTCTTTGAAAACACACCTATTGTCCAATCTTTGTCAAATGATCTGCTCCTCTTTTTATTTTATTCATAACTGAACTAATTAGTTCGTAGGAAAACCCCTTTCGACATAACTTTCTGTCTAAATGTCATCTGACATGTCTCAAACAAAAAAAAAAAAAAAAAAAAAAAAAAAAAAACAATGAAACAAACACTCCATGATCAAACTGATCCAATGAGGAAAATTAATTAATTAATTAATTAATAAAAAAAATAATA